GCACACAAATACGGTTAAAACGCTAAGCACTATAACGGCATGACATTCACAAAGGAGTCTGGAGTGATACACGTATTTAGGTAGATTTTGAGGTGCATTACCTTGAAAAATGAAAGTAATCCATAGCGTCCTCAGCACCTCAGATGTTGGGAGAAAATGAAGACTCTTATGTTCAGTCTTGCATCCAACACAGAGCACCGGGATTGCTTGCGAGACATTGTTGACGTTACAGCTGCTCAAGTGCGGAGAAAAAGGAGGACAGTGTACAACCGCTGAGGGCAGAAACTACAGCAATGCAGGGCTGTCAATCAACCCCCGTGACCCGGCCTGATGCAATGTGACGTCACACTGCATGACAATCAAAACGGCAGGCCTAGTGAGACTGACTTGGTTCAAACGGGATTAAAAAATGAGGAGTGGGTGGATTTTTATCATTGTAGGGTGGTTGTGTTCACACCCTGCTCACACACATTTATGTCCAAACACCATGTACAAGTGGATTTTGCATAATAGGTGCCCTTTAAGTTGCTTCAGTCCAGTAAATGATCTGATATTACTAACAATATACAAGATATTCTTACAAAAAGACACGTGTACCACGACCTGAAGGGAATGTTTTAACAATTATGCTAAAAGGCCTTTTACTTGCTAAGTTATAAAGTGTCAATCAGATGACTGAAGGCATGTAGTAGATTGTGTAATACTATCTGAAGTTCCAGAGCACCATCATCTTTATGATATACAGTATGTCACATCAGTGCACACTCACATTTGTGTCTCTCATCCATACAGGTGCAAAACCTGCACAGCTGTGTCCAGGTGATCAACGACTTCGTCTCTCCGGAGCACGTGGTGCATTCGTTCCACTTAACCCAGGAACTCAGATCCTCCAAAGAGGAAATCAACTATGAAGATAAGCTACAGGTAGAGTGGAAATATCACAGCATGTCAACATTTATTGGAATATTAAGGCCTGAACTGGATCGCAGTGTCTCTATGATTTATCGCTCAGTAGGTTAAGTTACACAAACGACTAACAATGAAGTGTCTGTGAGAAGACTGCCATTTGTTTTCTTTTATTACTGTTTATAACTGTTTGTATCAGTGCGCATGCAGTCTGATTGCTGCCACTTACATTATAAACTCAAATACTCTTAAAAATAGACTCCTGACAAAAGAACACATTTCATATTTTCAGATGCATTGTTAGACATGAGATAGCATAAAAGTTACAAATATCAGGATTCCCTTTGAGGTTTCAGAGCAGTTCGCCAGCGATGAATACCGCACATTTATCCCAATAGATTGCTTATGATCCACTGCTGATTAATTATGACAATGTTCATGATTTTTAAAAAAAAAAAAAAAAGTATGAACAATCAAGTAAACTTAAAGGGTACCTATTGTGCTCCTTTTTACAAGATGTAATATTGGTCTTGGGTGACCCCAGAATGTGTCTGTGAAGTTTCAGCCCAAAATACCCAACAGATCATTTATTATAACAGCTGGAATATATAATTTTTGGAGTGTGTCTAAAAAAATAACTGTTTTGGAGTGTATCGCTTTAAATGCAAATGAGCTGCATAGTCCCGCCCCGTCTCCAGAAGAGGGCATCGCGTATACAGTACGTCTCTCTGCATTGCATATCTACAACAATAAACAGCCAGTAGAAGCAACATAACTGAGAGCGAGAGAACCGGTGTTTAGCCGTACATATGGGAAGCCAAATGCACTGAAAGTGGGATGAAACAACGCAATATTACAGAGCTCGCGCCGCGCTGACCTGTCATCGGCGCGGATCAATTGACCGAGCCACGCGACCGTGCTACCGAACGAATTTCGTACTACGAACGGCACGAACTAATCTCACAAGCGCGGTGCTGACGAGTTAAAAATACTTAATGTATGCACACAAATACGGTTAAAACGCTAAGCACTATAACGACATGACATTCACAAAGGAGTCTGGAGTGATACACGTATTTAGGTAGATTTTGAGGTGCATTACCTTGAAAAATGAAAGTAATCCATAGCGTCCTCAGCACCTCAGATGTTGGGAGAAAATGAAGACTCTTATGTTCAGTCTTGCATCCAACACAGAGCACCGGGATTGCTTGCGAGACATTGTTGACGTTACAGCTGCTCAAGTGCGGAGAAAAAGGAGGACAGTGTACAACCGCTGAGGGCAGAAACTACAGCAATGCAGGGCTGTCAATCAACCCCCGTGACCCGGCCTGATGCAATGTGACGTCACACTGCATGACAATCAAAACGGCAGGCCTAGTGAGACTGACTTGGTTCAAACGGGATTAAAAAATGAGGAGTGGGTGGATTTTTATCATTGTAGGGTGGTTGTGTTCACACCCTGCTCACACACATTTATGTCCAAACACCATGTACAAGTGGATTTTGCATAATAGGTGCCCTTTAAGTTGCTTCAGTCCAGTAAATGATCTGATATTACTAACAATATACAAGATATTCTTACAAAAAGACACGTGTACCACGACCTGAAGGGAATGTTTTAACAATTATGCTAAAAGGCCTTTTACTTGCTAAGTTATAAAGTGTCAATCAGATGACTGAAGGCATGTAGTAGATTGTGTAATACTATCTGAAGTTCCAGAGCACCATCATCTTTATGATATACAGTATGTCACATCAGTGCACACTCACATTTGTGTCTCTCATCCATACAGGTGCAAAACCTGCACAGCTGTGTCCAGGTGATCAACGACTTCGTCTCTCCGGAGCACGTGGTGCATTCGTTCCACTTAACCCAGGAACTCAGATCCTCCAAAGAGGAAATCAACTATGAAGATAAGCTACAGGTAGAGTGGAAATATCACAGCATGTCAACATTTATTGGAATATTAAGGCCTGAACTGGATCGCAGTGTCTCTATGATTTATCGCTCAGTAGGTTAAGTTACACAAACGACTAACAATGAAGTGTCTGTGAGAAGACTGCCATTTGTTTTCTTTTATTACTGTTTATAACTGTTTGTATCAGTGCGCATGCAGTCTGATTGCTGCCACTTACATTATAAACTCAAATACTCTTAAAAATAGACTCCTGACAAAAGAACACATTTCATATTTTCAGATGCATTGTTAGACATGAGATAGCATAAAAGTTACAAATATCAGGATTCCCTTTGAGGTTTCAGAGCAGTTCGCCAGCGATGAATACCGCACATTTATCCCAATAGATTGCTTATGATCCACTGCTGATTAATTATGACAATGTTTCCTTTATGGACTTTATACTGTAATATTGTGTAGATGGATGCAAAAGTGCACATTTGATCTCCTTTATCTTTTTACATAAGCAGCTGGAAGTAGTAAAGCAAGAGTCCTGTGTATTTTGGGCTTGTTTGTAATTGATAGCCCCATATTATGCATAAAAACCAATTTGCTATTAATTTCATTAATTAATCAGCACATCATGTAATTAATTACATTAAGTATTAGCACTTGGCAGCCCTGTTTTTAACGCATTCAGGATATAGATTTTGCCAGTAATGTTACGTTTTTTTTTTTTTAACAGTCCATTAATCGATCTCTACTTCATATGTATTGATATATTAGTACCTATTTCAGTTTCAAAAATGTGCACCAGTAAAAGAATTTCAGATAAATTGAGACGTACAATATGGTTTGGACATACGGTATTCATTTTATAGGTCTTAAAATTATGATGACTGTTTCTCAGCACTGCAGTCATCAGTTGGCATGCCATTTCAGACGTCTCTCGTCAGAGTCCGGATGCGATGTTGCGTGATTCTAACAGCCTGTCGTGTCTCTCAGGTCAAGAACATCTTTTACCACTGCGTGAAGAATGCCGTGGGAACATTAAAGAGGTGCTGTGCCGAGGAAGAGGAGACGAACTCATGACACTCGTCAACACACTCCCCCAAATATGCACACTAAAGCTCACACCGCGAACCTCCAGTGCCAAGCAGAGAAAACCCACCAGTAAACTGTATTTATTTGTTACTGACACCATAGCAGTATAGCGCATCAGGATGACTGTGATCGACACGCCACACACGTCTGAAGAATCTAGTGTTTGTTTGTCTGTTTGGTTTCGTTCCCATTTTGCTCTTTCATACTGTATAGTTTCAGTGGAGAATCGTATTTATTTTTAGGAGTTCTGTGCTCTGTTCTCGATCAAATGTAAATGTGACTTGTACAGTTTGCTAATGGATTTCTGATGGCGCTCACTACTTTGGAGTTACTGTGAGAGAGATCCGCTGTCTCGTGTCCTCATGCCATATCTTTTGAGAAAAGAACTGCCAAACAATTGTAAACATTGTAAAGTTCTATTATGTAAAGAAAGACTTAATGAATAACTCACTTCAACATTTTATTAAGTATTCACTGTAAAATGGAGACATTTACAAAAAAAAAAGTTGTAATTTATTTAAGAAAAAACTGTCGTTTCTTTCTCCTTTTTATGTTCAGATTTACTATGGCGAACTTTTGAAGTTCAATGGAAAAAGCAAATCGTACTATGCTGTGTAAATATATACATATATACATTCACTGATGTATTTTTTTAAACATGGCTTGCTTCAATTTCAAATTTTAAAGTGCAAGTGTTACATGCTTTGTACATTGAAGTTCAAAGGGGTTTTACATTTTCCATTAAAATGGATTTATCAAATATCTGCTTGCCTTTTGCCTTCTTGACAAGATGAACGGTTCAAGATAACATGTTCAATGTTTGGGCAATATATACATTTAAATATATTCTGGTAATCAAAATGTAATGATTTGCTTTGCCTCTGAAATTATTGTTAACCAATAGCCAGACAGTCTGCCCACTTTTGAACACGTGCGGTGTCATTCACAGATTGAACACCAGAGGAGGCTGTTAAGCTTTTGTGGGAATTTAGAAACTATGAAATCAACACTTGTTTGTATTGCAGTCACTACCATTTCAAAGTCTCTGATAAAAGAGTTTTACACAAACCTAAAAAGCAGTACAATTGTTTTTACATGAATACCTTTCAAAATCAGTGCCCAATTTAGACCTGTTTGCATCAGTGGGTCGTTGACATGCTATGTTCCATCAAAAATGACTTCAAACATTCTTTTATAATTATTACGAATGCAGCTTTTTGTGAGCTCATACTCCATAGACTGGATGGAATGTTTGTACTATTGTAATATACTTTCAAAATAACTGAAAACAGATTCATGCTGCCACTTGTTAAAATCTTTAATTCTTGTCAGAACAAGAAAACTCAAAAAAATTATACATAAATTCTTGTTTTCAATATCTTAATCATATACGTACAGCTACTGTAGAACAGCCATTCATGCATCAAAACACTTTCGTCATATGATTTTCATTGATTTTTACATCACAAAACAAAAAGTAAAATAACAAAATCTAATGCACCCTGATTACTGTGGTAAACCAGTAATTAAACATTGAATTAAAAACAAAATAATAAAAAGAGCAAAATGTGGATTTGGTTCCCTCTTCATGACACAAATATAAGCCATAAATTCATCTCTTCCCAGGCGCGTCTGGCACATGTTGGTAGCTTTTGATTAATGTGAGGAGTGAACCTGGTTTATTGTTAGAGCAAGGTATGATTGTGCAATCAGTTACCTGAAAATATTAACACCGTGACCCAGACAATCCTTGATTGATGAGTACAATGAAGCTTCAAACAAACCAAAGAGCCAAGCTTTCAGGACATGTCCATTCCTATGCTGTTTGCATTGCGTCTGAAGAATGACACAGCGGAGAAGTGAGCGGAGATGAGAAACAACAAAATGAATGAGTGATTCTGTTGCACTTGACCAGATTATTGCTTATAGTTCCGAATGCAATAGTCTCACGCTCATGTCCAGCCTCCTGTAGAAATGATCCACCACTGTTTTTGTTTAATAAGTTGCTACAAATCGTCCAGAGATGACATCATGACTGGGCTTTGTACTAATTGCAATAAGGCAAAACAAGTGCTGCAAGCTGGTTATCAGTGTACGGAAACAGAATGCATAACTAATTGCATTGAGGCCTCTCGGCTTCCTCTATGCCCTAAATCTGCGCTGTTAATAGACGACTGAAACTGCATAACCACAACGTCGACAACGATGGTGCTGATCAACAGATACTGCACAAAACCCTCACACACACTCACACACACACACACACGTAGTTCACAGTGTGTGTAGGAAATAGTTTTTCGATTGAAAGTGGGATTTTGCAAGAGGCAAATTCACCTGCTGATAAAAAGTCTGATAACATAGTGTTCGACAGAATCTCCGATATCCCTTTTCACTCGTACTTCATAACAAAAAAAAAATTGCATTAGAAATGTTCAAAAAGGCACACGTACTTCAAAAAGAGTTGTTTTCTTTCTTTATACATCCAATCGCTGCGGGGTGCCACTGAGAAGTCGAATCGTCCAGAGATGACATCATGACTGGGCTTTGTACTAATTGCAATAAGGCAAAACAAGTGCTGCAAGCTGGTTATCAGTGTACGGAAACAGAATGCATAACTAATTGCATTGAGGCCTCTCGGCTTCCTCTATGCCCTAAATCTGCGCTGTTAATAGACGACTGAAACTGCATAACCACAACGTCGACAACGATGGTGCTGATCAACAGATACTGCACAAAACCCTCACACACACTCACACACACACACACACGTAGTTCACAGTGTGTGTAGGAAATAGTTTTTCGATTGAAAGTGGGATTTTGCAAGAGGCAAATTCACCTGCTGATAAAAAGTCTGATAACATAGTGTTCGACAGAATCTCCGATATCCCTTTTCACTCGTACTTCATAACAAAAAAAAAATTGCATTAGAAATTTTCAAAAAGGCACACGTACTTCAAAAAGAGTTGTTTTCTTTCTTTGTACATCCAATCGCTGCGGGGTGCCACTGAGAAGTCGTGAACCCGACGGTTGTGAGAACCGTCATTTACGCCACCGGGTTGCTTCGCCGTGAATGTGCCTCCTCTGCGTGTTCGCTGGCATGCAACGGCGATCGAAGTCTCCCTTTGGTGCGTGTTTTGAGCGCGAGTGGTCACAGCTTCTCCCCGTCCAGCAGCTCCTGCAGTTCCTGCTGGATGTCTTCAAAAAGGCACACGTACTTCAAAAAGAGTTGTTTTCTTTCTTTGTACATCCAATCGCTGCGGGGTGCCACTGAGAAGTCGTGAACCCGATGGTTGTGAGAACCGTCATTTACGCCACCGGGTTGCTTCGCCGTGAATGTGCCTCCTCTGCGTGTTCGCTGGCATGCAACGGCGATCGAAGTCTCCCTTTGGTGCGTGTTTTGAGCGCGAGTGGTCACAGCTTCTCCCCGTCCAGCAGCTCCTGCAGTTCCTGCTGGATGTCCTCAGGAAGCTCCAGGCCGGGCAGGTCTTCCAGAGGGATCTCCTGAGTGGGCATCTCCAGCGGAGGGAGCTGTGGGATGGGAATGTCCTTGGCCTTGCGCTCCTCGGCCGTCTGTGGAAGCACCCATAGCTCCGACCGCTCCACGAAGTCGGCATCAGCGTAGGGTTCCTTCTTCAGCCGCACGTTCTCTGCCCGCAGCTGCTCGTTCTCCCGTTTCAGCTGCTCGTTTTCAGACACCAGTCGGTCCACCAGGTTGCGTAGGTCGTCGATGGTGGTCTGCTGCTCCTCTAAACGGGTTTTGTCGTCTTTCTGGGCTTTACTGCCAGCGCAGGGCTCTGGGACAGTGCCTTTGTTCTTCAAAAGATACAGCCAGGTGTCGTACTCTCGTTCGGAGGGTTGGGAGACGTCTGTGGTGGCTCCGGCCGGCTGTAGGTGGCGGCGTGGCGTCTGGTCTGAGGCGGGAACGTGCTGGAGCGTTCTGGGCTTGTCCTCTCGCTTTGCTCGCTTCCATTGCTCCTCGATCAGCCTCTGCTGCTTGACGTGACTGTCCCTCTGAAGCTCCAGAGACAAGCGAGCCTAACAGGAAAGAAACATCTCATAAGCCGCTTTTCCACTATCGGGCCGAACGGTTCTCTTTGCTTAACCGTTCCATTACGTGCCAGTCAGCACGGATACGGTTTCATTTTCCACTGTGGTGCTGATAACGGAGCTCTTTGGAATGTAATACAAATGCGTCAGTCGTTGCCTTGGTAACGCAAGTGTAATGTAAACAGCGATATGGATGATGATCAGATATTTCTGTTTTTGGGACTCCTTTTTTATCTGATACTTACTTCGTTAAATAACAGAAAAAAGGATACAACAAAAAATAAAATAAACATAAGGCGACGACGGGTATAATATCAATAAGTGCAAATGTTTCCTACACAGACTGTCTCAGACATTTTTTCTTTTTTATATTGAACGTAGCGTAGCTGTTTACTTGGCTGTTTGATCAAATAGCGTGCTTCCGCTTAGCCAGCTATGGAGAAACTGGTAGCCAGGCAACAGAGTGGCGACGTCACGCACACGCACTCTACCAGCACGGTTCAGCACGGTTCTCTAACCGTGCCGAGAATTCCAGGCTGAGAACGGTTTGTAATCGTGCCGCACCGTACCAGGCTCATGTGGAAATATAACTGGAACCGTACCCGACAGTTCTTAGAACCGTTCGGCACGATAGTGGAAAAGCAGCTATTGTCAATTTTATCCACGATAAATAATAAAGAAAATGCAGGACAATGAGGACCATCTAGGCATACCTGTTCACACTCGGTGAGCTTCATGGCCTCCTTGAGAAGTTCTGTGGAGACATAAGTTATTTAAGCACACACTTCCAATCTGAAGTTCAGCCCAGTGGTACTCATAGATTGTACAAAAATATTGTTTAGGCTCAAATTCGACTCGCCGAGCTTTGGCGCTCTTTGTGAGACAAACCAAAGGAGACTAAAGCCTTACACATAAAAAACTGTTTCTCATGAGGATGCATTCAACATTTACACAGGTTAGTCTGTGATTTTATTGCTGTTCGAATCCAGAATGTCTGTGTTTTTCTCCCACCACCTGCGTACAAATGTACAACTGAATGACCTACTGCTTTTTGACAAACACCAAGGTTGTGTGGTACCTACATCTGTGATTTTGTGAAAAATTTGGATCAATCCAATTTTTCTGTAAATCCTTTTTAACCACTGCCAAGCAGTGTACGCTAACTTTTGCACTTCATGGTAATGTGAACGCATTAGAAATATGGATACTTTGATTAATTAAAAGATGAAACTACAGCTCCACTACAAGGAATGGGAGCTGTTAACAAGAACAATAAACAAACATGTAAACTAATGAAATTTTTTTAATATTTAGTATATAGATTTATATAAAATTACCATGAAGTATTAGGGCTGGACAATATGGCCAAAATTTATATCACAATATATTTCTTAATTCCAGTCAATACGATATTCGAATTCCGATATCGATATGAACCATTTAAAAAAAAAAAGCCTAAAAAAAACTGCCAAGAACACCCACAACTATACCTGTACCTACAAACTTCTAAAAAAATTTAATTTGCCACGTCTATGAAACCTCCTCCTATAAAACGATATAATATTTTAGAAATAAAAACGGTACAAATAAATTAATGTTCACCTTTTCTCTCAGAGCTGCGTTTGACACTGTCAATCATAACATACTTCTAGAGAGACTGGAAAACTGGGTCTGGCTTTCTGGGATCGTCCTCAAATGGTTCAGGTCATACTTAGAAAGGAGAGGTTATTATGTGAGTATAGGTGAGCATAATAAGTGCACGTCCATGACATGCGGAGTCCCACAAGGCTCAATTCTTGCACCGCTCTTGCTTAGCCTGTATATGCTCCTACTAAGTCAAATAATGTCATCCAGAACGCTGCTGCCAGGATTCTGACTCGAACCAGAAAATCTGAACATATCACACCAGTCCTCAGGTGCTTACACTGGCTTCCAGTTACATTTAGGATTGATATTTAAGTACTTTTACTCGTTTATAAATCACTCAATGGCCTAGGACCTAAATACATTGCAGATATGCTCACTGAATATAAAACTAACAGACCACTCAGATCATTAGGATCAAGACCGTTAGACACACCAAGGGGAATCCGCTTTTAGCTATTATGCCGCCTGCAGTTGGAACCAGCTTCCAGAAGAGATAAGATGTGCTAAAACATTAGCCACATTTAAATCTAGACACAAAACTCATCTGTTTAGCTGTGCATTTATTGAATGAGCACTGTGCTACGTCCGAACTGATTGCACTGTATTTCATGTATAATCATTTTCTATTCTTAACTGTTTTAATTCATTTCAAATCAATTTTTAAATCATTTAAAACGTTTTTTTAAATTCCTTGTTTTGAATGTTGTGATTATATATTTTTATGATTATTTTACTTCCTTTTATGTAAAGCACTTTGAATTACCATTGTGTATGAAATGTGCTATATACATAAACTTGCCTTGCCTTTTATTCGTATTTAGCCTTCATACAAACAAGAAATGTGAAATCACCTTCAAACAAACATAAGACTCTCAGACACACCTTATTAATATTAATATCTTTAACTTTAAACTATAATATGGGCTGATTATTCTTATAGATTGAAACAAAAGTGTTTCAGCCAGGATAAAGAATATTAAAATTGCTCAAAGTTGCTGCATAAAACAGTAAAAAGAGTGAGTAACAACAAAAACATGTTGCTGGAGACGGGCTTATAGAAAATGCAAATCCATTCTCTGCCAGCAGGAGGTGCTTTTGGAGCAGCAGAAACAGTGGTTTCCCCAGTAACGGCTGTAAAGAAAGCAGTGCTGCACTCATGAATGCTACTTTATGAAATAAAATAAAAATGCCATCGAAACTTTTCTGAAGACAGTCGGCTCCTTTCAAACATACATTCATATAAAACACCCACACCACATTTTGATTTTGAAACATTCAATGCTTATGTTTATCCAGCGGCGTCAACAGCCACAAATAAATCAATGTATGGGAAACACTGGTAATGCATATTGAATTATTGGAAATGCGTTTAAAAATCATATCATCGTTACTGAAAAAAATGATATCGCAATATATATTGATATCGAATTATTGTCCAGCCCTATGAAGTAGTTTTAATTCTTTACATTTAATTTTTTTTAAACGTCACTGAATTAAATTAATTTTACTAGTCTAACAAGTACCCTGGTCAAGAGTTTATTTCTGCTAAATTCCACTTTTTTTAAATAACATCCATTTTTAGAGATAAAATGCAGGACAGAAAGCAATTTAAAATATAGTGCATCAATATTTCTCTTTTTAACTAGATACTTTAATAATTAAAAAACAAATAGGATATTGTTTTCCTAATAAAATAAATATGAATGAATGAATGAATTGTCCAAG